CCCCCCCCCCCCCGAGTTAAATTGTAGAGTGATAGATTGCTGATTACAAGCTAAAAATTCATTTAACAGCTGAATTAAGGAATAAACATGAGACAAGAATGAGCAAACTTTTTGTTAGAAATCTTTACCCTTCTTAAAAACCTGTACTGCACCAAATTCAGCCAAAGCTAAATTCGATAAGATTTGTGCTTTTTACTTTTGTATTTACTATTTTATTACTAATTATTGTATTTACTATTATTATTTACTATATTATTATTATTTATGTTACAGTTTATTTGGCTGAATATGGGGCACTGAGTCCCTTTATTTGGGCTCCTAAAGCAGAGCACCTGACTCCATATTTTTGGCATGAAGGTGAACTCACTTCAGAGGATCAGAAGATCTTCAGCACCCATTGGTTTAAATTACTTTACATTGCTTATTCTTAGACCTTTGAAGTGTTCAGTTGCCTAAACAATTTGTACCACATCGGAAATATTTTATCTTTAAAGTAGCAACTGAAGAAAAAAATTACATTGCTCTGTGAAAACATACTGTTTGTAAAGAGTGAGTGATGCCTCATCTGTGGAACACTCTTTGTGTGTGTGTATTGAGGACAGCACTAGTTACACTCTGAGGGTTAGGCAGGGTTGGGGCTATATTGCTGTGACAAAGTAATTAGAGAAATAGGTATGTTTGTTGTTGCTAGCTTTATAGATTTGACAGTCTTTTCCATCGTTTGCTTTCTGTCATTGACGAGTTGTTTTCACTTCTTGCTTGTAAGAGTAGCTGGAAAAAACATCTTTGAAGTAGGAAAATGTTCTTATAAAGGTTTTTTTTTAAGTTTCAGAAACTATAAAAAATTGGCTGGGGTCTGGATTGCAGGAGGATGTGAAATAACTGAAAAAACTTTCAACTCTTGTTTTGCAATTGACTTGATTTCAAGTTCACAGGGTCCTTTTAATCTCTCAGACAAATCTCTCAAACAGAAGCGGCAGATAAATGTGAGCCTGCAGCATTTTAACTTTATCAGATTAGATCAATTGAATGCTACTTCAGTACAGGATGTAATCAAGTATTACAGCTATGCTCTTCCCAGGAGCTCCTTATTTTCTTTTTTCTCCCCTATCTTTAATTTGAAGTCCAGTAGTTATTTTTTTCAGATCACAGCTCTGATTTTGAGCAGTACAGCAACCTCATGCTATCTCCCTCTCATATTGAGTATATGTTTCTGAGTCAACACCATAATCCTTAGGTTTCTATGGATATTCAGCATTATAATATACAGTCTATCTTCTAATGCCTTTGACAGTGTTTTTTAAATTCTTACATAAAAGGTGATAGTTACTTGTATATCTTAGTGCCAGAAAAAATTTTAAGTTATTCTGAAATTGTGGTGTCAATGATTCAAAGACACTGAAAAATTATTTCAGACTCAGTTTATGGTACACAAGGATATTTAACAACTGAGGCTATTTTGCTGGGCACCAAGATAACCTGGATGTCTCAAAACCAAGTAGGAAAGTCTGTCTAGAAGAGAGATAGGTGGGAAACAGTTCAGGGACATTCTGTAGCCTTTGCAGCATAGAACATCAGACTGGATGACAAAAATCCTTTCTTGCCTTATGACCTACATAAGGTATTACACTTTAAGAACTTTCTTGTATTTCCCCCGAGAGGGACTACAAAGATCACGGTGAGCTGAGTAACAGGGGAAGATTGCAATCTGGTTACCACTGCAGTTACATGTTCTGCTTTCAGAGGCTGGAAAGTCCTTGACGTGCAGCAGTCCTACCTACAGTTTCACTGTGGTTTCTACAGCTGATGAAGGATTGTCTTGAACTTTTCTGATGTGATACTAGAACACGCACGTTACTCATAATGAATGTAACACTATGGATGTGCTGGGAACTTCATAGCAAGGAGAGACTTGCTTAGTGAGGGATAAAATGAGAAAAAAAATTAAAAGCCGCTGTCTTAAAAAGTTAATTGTGGTGGTGGTGGTGACGTGTAGCACTAAACACAATCAATTTTATTTTCGGATGGCTTTGTGGAAGTTACATAGGGATCCCTGCATTTTCTCACTGCTGGTAAATGGTGGAAATGGTGAAGCAGTGATTATTCTGCATCTCTGTATTGTTTGAATCCAGGAGGGACTGCAGTTTGGAAACAGGAGGAAGCATGAGTATCCCAGGTTTTGTACGTTAGAAACTGCCATTGGTAAAATGCACATTAATACAGTATTACACAGTTAACTAGCAGGCGATGAGTAATGAGAGGGCTTTTGCACACCTGTTCCGCCTGGAACAGCTTTTTCATAGTTGGGATTTTTTTTGCTTTTAGCAGTGAATAGGAAGATAGGGAGGGCACACATTGTACGTATGCAGGGTGTTTCAGCTGTGATGGAACGGGTTCAAGAGAGTGGTTAACTGGAGTGAAGAAAGCTAGCAGGACTTAGTAGCGGGGTGAAATCGTGGCAATCCCTGGTTATCAGCATTTTATCAACAATATAACCTTAAGTATTCAGTTCATCGCTGATTCATCACTTTAATGTTTATCGTGATCCTTTAATACCTTGGTTGATTAGATCTATAAGCTGCTGTAATACAAAGAACTTTGCCCAAGGCATATCAGAAGAAAAATTAGAGGAGGAGGGAAAAAAACCCCAACACTGATAAAAGGGTTAATTAAGTGAATTGGAAGAGAAGGTAATGTTTGCTTTTTAAAAAGTGGGGTAATTTTATATTCAGCATAATTTGAAAGTGGTGTGTAACCGATAACTGACTTGAAAAGTATTACTTGTGAGGAAAGAAAAATAAAGTTCTAAATCACATATGTAAAGTAATATGGTATGTTATTAGTAATTTTAGGTTTGTTGTTAGAGGCATTACTTGACATCACAATTTTAAAAGCTATTAACAAAGTATGGTGATTAGAAACTGTAACAGTGGAAAAAAAGCTTTTTAGCCCTCTTAAGGCTGGCTATACTAAGGAACCCAGTTTATCATAGTTCCAGGCCTGCAAAATCTTAGGATTTAGCATATATCATCATGTACACTTAAAGGAAATATTTACTGGACCGGATAATGTGTGTTGATGTAGCATATTGAACTAACAAGATACTTGTGAATATAGAATTAATTCACTTTAAAATCTGTATTTGAAGAGTCATTATAATGAGGCCAAAATGTTTTTTAAAAAATCATAATATTTAAAAATAAATTTTAAATGTTTTCAAATTCGGAAAAATAATGCAGCATTTTGTGTTTTGTGTTCTGTAGGCTTCTTAACATGTAACACAATGTTTATTGTAAATTCAGTGTACTAATTGAAATTTAAGGAGAGCAATGTGGAGTAACTGGCCAGAATGCAAAACTGAGATTAATGATTTGGGAAGCAGAATGTTGCTTTCCGTTAGCTTTTTTTATTATTATTTCTTAACTTTTTTGGTCACTACTCCTGTCATTTGTATGTCAAGTTTAATTACAAAAAAAGGGTTGGCTTTTCTTTGTGATGGTCTGGTACGGTTAGTTTGTTATTTGTATTTCATGAGAAAATGCATACACATTTCTCCTGTGTAAGCCTGATTGTACTTAGGTGACAGAAAATATTCAACCGGAATCAAAGAACCCCGTATTTTTTTACATTTATTTACAGATCTGCAATTATGTTGGACCTGCAAAAGTAATTGTCCAGTTAGTTACTAATGGCAAATACGTCCACTTACATGCTCACAGCTTGGTGGGTAAATTTTGTGAAGATGGAGTATGCACAGTTAACGCAGGACCTAAAGATATGGTTGTAGGGTAAGTCTGTCAACTCATTTGTAAAGCTGGACTAAAAGAGAGAATCGAGTACAAGCACTGTAAAAAGCAATACAAAAATACTACTAAGAGGCAGCTAAGTGGAGCACTGGTCTTCACACTCTGATCTGTGTTTTGTTTGTATCTGAAGTAGAAAAATAAATGGAGTTTACCTTTGTAGAATTTGCTCTAAGCAAGCTAAATAGCTTTAAGCACATAATTTTCACTTAGAATTTGTAGTTTCAGTCTCTTGGTGTGCAGTCCAAGTTTGTATTGCAAGCCCATTCTTTAAAATGTAAGCAGTTTCAATCAAAAAGAAGGGACTGTAAAATTACTGAAGAAAAGCTTTTGTTAGGATTTTGATCAATATTTTACTTTTGCTGAAATCTGCCAATAAGAATATAGTGAAAAGCATTAAGATAATATGGTTAGTAAATCTGAAATTAATGCAAGACACGTATAAACATGAAAATACTAAATGAGTCAAACTTTTTAAGTTTAAAGCAGTAAGATTATAGTGAAATTGTAGTTGGTCTGTTCTTGTTTAATTTAAAAGAATAATTGTTTATATCAGTAAATGGAGCTGAGGCTCCTGTCTACGTTTTCAGGCTTAGATCAGGTTTCATGCTGGCTGTGAGTTTTAGTTCTGTGATCTCAAGAATGTCTTTGTTGGTGAAGAAGATGAAGTTTAAAAAGCTGAGAAGGTTGGGAGAGAGAAATTCTTTTAAACTGTAACTTTTGATGTCCAAGCCCAGTGCACTAACTTTACCAAGCACAACAATTTAAATAGCTTCATTTGAAATGCTCCTTTTCATCTTGAAAAGTTTGGCTCATTTCCTAACTTGTCTTGTTTTTCATCAGATGTTTAGAAACAGCTTTCCTATCCTCAATTGACCCACATGAAAATGGAGTTATTGTCTTGTTTTCATACTTCCAGACCTAATTGATTTTTAAATGTGCCAGGAGATTTTTACAAAAGCAGATTTTGTATTATGAAAGTTTTCATTCAAATAGATACCTGAAGTGTCCTGCTGA